TATATATATATATATATATATATATATATATATATATATATATATATATATATATATATATATATATATATATTATATTTAAATACTAATAAAATATTATATAATTATTATTATTTAAATTATAACTCCATTTGTGTCAGGTCTACACGAATCCGGACCCAGGTTGGATCCATATTCCTGGAAGGTTCATGTTCTTTTTCGAGTGAGCGGTGGTCAAGCGTTGATATGGAAATAGAGAAAATGTTTATGTGGAGTTTTGCAAGGTAGGATGTAGTTACCAGTGCTTCCTCTGTGGGTTTGGAATTAAGCACGCATTTGTATCCCAATACCGAAGGATTCTCCTCATTAATCTCACCCTCCTCTTCGCCCTCTCCTTCCTTGAAGTTCTCTGCAACAACCCCTGAATTCCACCAACTCACAAATGAGCATTATAATAAAAAAAATTCAAAATATGGAATATCATAAGAAAAAGTGAAAATATGGGTCCTTTTTTTCCTTGGAGAATTTTTATTTTCCTTTCATCGCAGTTTATTTACTGCCCTTTTATGTTTACATTGAGAGCAATAGCATTTATAAATAATGTTATATATAATGAAAATAAATTGATCTTGTGCTTTACCTTCAACAGAAGCAGCAAGCTTGTCCAAGTTCTTGGCTATAAGGTTGTGAAGATCTTCTCCAGCCCAAACAGGGCAAACAAGCATGCTCACGAGCACACATAGTGCACTACCTATGAGGATGGTGGACAACCGTTGATGTGCCATCTCCAATAATTTGTCCACTCGATACCCCGACACTGATACCAGGCTGAATGTGAGTATGAATATCATCGCTCCATAATCATACCTTGTTTTGATCGTCGGGAAAAATCGTAGAAATGTAAAAACCGTTGCTGCATGTGCACTAATCAGTGTCAACATCATCACCACCATCATCATCCTCGTTTGTATTAACATAATAATATATTTTACAATTATTATTGTTATTATTACTACTAATAGTGTTGTTATTGATATTAATGTTGAAGTTATGCACCTTGTAAAAAGACTGATATTCCGAGGATAATGGGCTCAGATTTGTCGCCTGAGAGGCTGGCCAATTCATGTACACCAACGGCTAGAGATCCTGCTAGAAGCGTTGCGAACCCTCGATTCAAGCCCTTGCTTAAAGTTGCACCTGCAAATTAAATTTAACAAAATATAATTAAATTATAAATAAAAATAATAAAAAACAATCAACAACACGAAGGCATATTCGGGGTTCAAGCTCATGGCTAACGGTGTGAGGCTCGAACCCATTAGAAAGGGAGTAAAAAAAAAAAAAAAAAAGAAAAGAAAGGAAAGTGTACGATCTAAAAGTGTCCATGGGCCAAGGTGTTCAAACTCATTGGTGTATAGTGGGAAGATGCCAAAATTTCCTTATCCTTTTTAATTTAAGAAATCAATTTTTCCATAAAAATTTGATTCTGAATCGTTTGGAGCACGAGGCCGGCTTGGGTCAAAAGGTTTGCCTTAGTGCTACGGTACTTAAATTTTTATTAAATATGTGGGATCTCTTAATTATCATGAGTGCATCAGTTTTATTAGAACTATTTGGAGACAGATACAAAAATCATATTCGCTATCAAAGGTCATATCTTTCACTGAATACTATATCTCACCTTACGATTTCTATTCATGATTAATATACACAAAAAATATTATGTATATCTTTTTCATTTTTTCCCAATGCAAAAACAAAAAAGCATTAATTTTTGTCTGTGAAGGGTAAGGGAATATTCATGGAGAGAAAATGTTAAACTCTTATCGCAATGGAGATATTGTAGACAGAGACAGAGTATTAGTTTTTTCTCTATAACTCATAATGGAGATGATTTGTTTGATAGTTCAGCGATAAGAATCGAACTTAAGCGATGCTAAAAAGTGAGCTACCAACCACTCAAGCCCAAGTCCAAGCTGGATTTGCGATAGGAATCAAACTTGAGGAGTCACTACTAACCACTCAAGCCCAAGCCCAAGCCCAAGCCCAAGCCCAAGCCCAAGCCCAAGCCCGATTCATGAGATATGAGAGAGAGAGAGAGAGAGAGAGTTTTAAGAATGTAGAGACTATACCTACGCTATATTCGAAAACTACGACAACAGTCATGACGGCCCATATCGCCATTCCCCCGACCCCATCATAGAGAGGGCGCATGAAGTAGAAGAGTGAGACAAGGGTAAGAGCTAAGCCCACTTTTAGTGAGTGCACCACCCTTCTTGGATCATCTTTCCCAAGTTTCCAAACCCTCTCAAAAAACCCTCTAAAACACGATTTCACCATTGCAAAAATGCTTATAATGCCTTGCCATACTCTCGTAAGGAAGCCAGGCATCTCCTTAGATGATCCACCGTTAACTTCCATGCTCCAGTCCATCGATTGTGCAGTCACTTGAGAGATAATTCGCACGGAGAGAAAGAATCGGCCTATATATCCGTATATCAAGAGAGAGAAAGAGAGACTGTGGGGCTCTGTAGTGTATTATCGGCCACTATGAAAGAGAAAGAACCGATATGAATGATCTCCTGTCTGCTGTAATTCTCAACCACTGTTAGAGAGAGAGAGAGTGTGTACTGTAGAGATAGGAAGATAGTGAGATTCTCAACCACTGTTAGAGAGTGTGTACTGTAGAGATAGGAAGATAGTGAGATTCTCAACCACTGTTAGAGAGAGAGTGTACTGTAGAGGTAGAAAGATACTGAGAGAGTAATGTAGAGAGAGATGGTGAGAGAGGTAGAGAGAGAGTAATGTAGAGAGAGAAAGTGAGAGAGGATGGAGTCTTGGAGCGAAATGAGAGGAGCACCCCATTTTATAGAGGTGGGTAGAGAGTGAAAGTGGGCGGATTATATTGTAATAAGATATTTGCTCTATTTTCGTACAAGGCGAGGACAAGGATTTTCAACTAGTTGGTGGTTGAGAAGAATATATGTGATTTTTTCATAAAAAAGGAACTGTTCTCTCACTCTTATATGGGGAAGTAAGAACTAGGCCTCGCATCTTTCACTTTTTCTTTTCTCACTTTTTTTTTTTATATGACCTATTTATTTTCCTTTTTTTTGAGTTTAAGTCGAGTTTTTTATGTTGAAGTGGAGACAGCTGTAAACTGATGATGAATGCCTAATTTTTGAGGGTTTTAGACCGCAAAACCAACACGTTTTCTCTCACTGTAAAGCCAGCTTTCTCTCTCTAGAGGCACAGCATGAAGCTGGAAGGAAGGTAAATGAACGCGTTTGCCCTCCCTCCGTAAACCACTCTCTTTCTCTCTCTACATGCGGGACAGCAAAGCGAAACTCCTTTTCTCTCTCTACGTGTTTCTGAGCAATAATAAACTAAGGGAGCAGTTTGCATGAACACCTCAACTCCGTTGTAAAAGTGCACGGTGCACACACTCTCTCTCTCTCTTAAAAAGCAAGGTTTTATTGGAAATAAGAGACTGAAACCCAAGAAACGACAATTTTGTTATTTGCCATTCAACGACGAGGTTATTATTATTATGGGTGCTGTTTGTGTAGAGTTGAGGTTCTATACCATCAAAATAAAACTCAAATTAAAATAGTGATTTTAAAACTTTAAATCTATTTTGTGATCGATTTGAGGATATTTAAGCATCAAAATAGTTTCTTTTTCAAGTGGGTTTTAATTTGATTTTTAGGGCCTCGGCTCTACATAAGCTTTTTCCCTATTCGTATGGGTATACTCGAGACCTGTTGAAAATTTCAAAATGGCCATTTCTAAAGTAGATTTAGACAAGTGGACCATTGGAGTGACACCTTCCCTACGTCAGAGAATTTTTATGTACGGACTTCTTTTGTCTCTTTTATCTAGAATTTAATTTTTTCAAAAAGTACATGGAGCACTCCACCCCCGTGATGTGTTTTTTCATGAACTTGTCATCTTCTCATGCAATAACAACACCTAAATACGCGATAAACCCCACACTCCCTTAACTACATTGAGGTAAAATAGAAAAGGAAGCGTACTCCGGCAGGGGTATGATATAAGTTTACTTCCAATTAATAAATAAATAAAAAAGAGGAATTTTTCAATTTGAAAATTTTGAAACTACCTAATTTGATTATTTAGATGATTATTTTCAAAATTTCAAATTTTTTTAAGATATTTCTATATCGGGAGTATTATTATCACTTAGGTCTCACTCTTTAAAAATTGGAAGGTCTCGATTCAATCTTGAGATATATATTTTTCAAGTTTGTAAAGGCTGTAATTAAGAACTTTGTCATTGAGGTTAATCTATGGGTTGAAGAGGTTATATCCTCAAAATTTGGGTTTCTTAAATTAATTCTAGGTATGGTTTTATGTGACGGAGTAAATAAACACTATACTCTCGATGGAGTATAAATTCTTTGGTAATTATATAAAAAATGACGTTGACAGCTTTTGTCGTTAGCGGTGTTTTTTTGGGTTGGGCCTGCCACGTGGGTTCGTACGTGTTAAATCCTGCGCAGCCGTCTTTAAGAGATATTATCCTCCTTCGTGACTATATTGTTCATTTACTCCCTCAAGTAAAACCGCACTTAGAATTATTTTAGGAACTGGAATTTCTAATTTAGCCCTCTACACACTTGGAAAAAAATATATATATATAATCTTGAAATTTAATAGTGACCGTCCAACTTTTAGAAGGTGAGATCTAAGTATCAGAAAACTCAAATTTCAAAATTTAACTTTTGAAAATAATCGTCTAAGTAAGTGATTATTAATAAGTGGTTCTCAAAATTCAAAAGTAAAAAAACTCCTAGTAGGTATTTTTACCGATGGAATAAACTTATCCTATACTCCCCAGAAGTATGTCCTCTTCTTTAATTAACCACAATGCATTTAAGGGTGTTTGGGGTTTATCACTTGTTCGATGTTGTTATTGCAGGACATGGTGACAACTTAAGAAAATAAAAAATGCCACCAGGGGAGGGGTACTCCTCGTAATTTTTTTAAAAATAACATCAAATGGTAATAAAAGGATGTCCGTACTTAAAAAAAAAACTCAACAATTGATTATAGAAAAAAGTATCAAAAGGATAAATATATATAAAAAACAAGGTCATGTTACTTTTTGTCTATCAGAATTCAAATTAAATAGTTATGAGTGTGTCATTAACTAAATTCAAAGTTCAAATAAATAATTTTATCAAACTTTGTGACACACCTCAAGCCATCTAATTTTACATCTAATGACTACAAATTATAGTGACATTGTAAGAAAGTTATTTGGTTTTATAGCATATAATTCCTTATCAAAGTACGGATAAACTATTTAACATTGTAGCTATATTGTTTGATTTTTTCATTGTACCAATATTGTTTGCGTGTTTTTAGGTGTTCGAATTAAGCTCTAGAACTAGCAATCAACCTCAAGTAAGAGCAATTTTCATGCATGTGCTCACTAAATTAACACCAAATGAAAATTGGTCAGTTTTTCAGTGGTCAGACTGTTTAAATATTAGTTTTAAGATATTTATATGGTGATTTTAAAGCAGACCCAGAATTTCGAATGTAGAAAGTAATCTCATAAGTTGGTTTTAGCTAAGGGAGCAAATGTACAATGTGTTAAATGGGAACTATACTCTGCAAGAATGGAAATGTTTTAGCATTAGCTATTTTTCCATTTATTAGAGGATAATATACATCACAAAGTTTCAACACAAATGAAAAATGTATGTTGGGTGCACATATGGGTATTTCCTGGTGGTCCACCCACATGTCCTTTGTTTTGCCTTTTGTTATAAAGAAAAGTATTTTTCCTTCTTCTCTTGATTTTTATTTTCGTTTTGGCAAAATCTTTTATAAATGATCAAGACTATAACAAAGTCATGGTGGATTCCAGGTGGTATTTGCACGGGGAAACAACGTAGATAAAGCATTTGGCTTTCCAAATCTCACTTCTTCTATACTACTCTTCGCCATACGTGACTACGGAAAGTTAAACTCTTCTTTCCAAGATTTCTTCTTCTATTCCATGCTTTTTCTTTCCACTTTTTAGAGCCTAAACCACTTTATTCCCCCTTCCCTATTTAATTTTGAAATATTGGTCTTACCTAAGGGTGGCATAGGACCGGCTAGCCCTCGCCCAGCATGGCCCGGCCCTTATACCCACAGAGTCGGGCCAAAAGCAAATCATGAAAATAAGTAGGCCAGGCCAGGCTGAATTGGCCTGACGCTAGCCCTAGCTATTTTTTAAAGGCCCGGCCGCCTGGCCCGTTGCCAGCCCTAGCCTTACCTAGTTTAAAAGATAGCATGTGATAAATACGTTTGGGGTTAAATAAGTTTGGTATTCCAATTTCCTGAAAACCTAACACATGGCATAATATTCAAAAAAAGAAAAAAAAAAAGAAAAGGAAACTTATACATGGCATCCCATTCTTAAACCTAAAAGGTCCAAGGATTTCTTTAGTAGGTGACACAAGTGGCCTATCCATTAGGCTTCTTCCCTTTTATTTTAGGGTTTCTTTTGTGCTTAGTTATAGGGATGATAACGACTCCCATTAACTCTCTTGTAATAGGTTCTTAGGCACTTGGAGGTCCAAACTAAGAAGGAAGGTAAGCCCCTTTTTCATTATTCAAATATATCTAATTTCTTCGTCTCATGGGTACAATGTTGTGTCAAGAGTAAAAATATTTGTGCTTTTGTCCAATGTTGTCAAGATTTTTATGATTGTGCATTTGGACTGGGTCAAGGTTTAGTCATATTAGTAGTTCTAAACAAATGGATGACAAGTATTCTTCCAAGTTAGAGTGAGACACAGCCCCCTCCAAGAAATATAGCCACGAAACATTGTTTTTCCCTTGATAAGTTTTCAGGAAAAAAGGGCCCCATTTTTCTTGTTGACAAGGAATTGTAATTTTTCTATGGAAGTCAGAGTAGGCTTAGATTTTTTCGGTTAGATATATGAGACATATCATTCTTGGTTTAATTGACCATTTTTCCAATTTCTAGTTTGGTGGTTTTGTTCATTCAAAATCATAAAATTTGGATCCACGAAGCATTATCTTATGGGTTTGGACCAATTGCTAATGGAAAGGTATTACTTAAGGGATTTTATGCTACGATATCATTTATTTTTGGAACAAGGAGGTCACTATTTGTCACACCCCAAGAATTTACAATATTGTTATTTTTGAGATGTGACAGACAAAACATATATATATTTCTTGATAGGACAAATTTATAGTGGCGAGGTCTTACAAAGTAAATAAAGAAAGCTAGCACAACAACAGTATCTTCTAAGGTTGATCTTGACTAGCACTCAAAATGAATTCACAGTTATCATGAAAAAATGTTTACCATAGTTTGATGAGTTTGGCTACTCAGTAAGTGATCATCATAATCCTAAAAAAAATCATGGTTGAAAGATATCAATATTTTAAAAAAGAAGATCTATTAACAGAAATGCATCAACAATTTCACTTTCAATAAATGCATAATTAAGTATAATCCGAATAATTGAAATGCACATAACACTTTAACGGCAGTACATAATTTAAAGGGTTTCACAAAATACCCTTCTGGCGTCCCAAGTAGGTCACCTATATACCCCATTAGCGTCCTGATGGGTCCACTTAATCCCTATCGGCATCCCAGATAGGTCCACTTAATCCCTGCAGGTCCACTTATACCTCACCGGCGTACCGGATGAGTCCACTTAATCCCTACCGGCGTCCCGGGTAGGTCCACTTATACCTCACCGGCGAACCGAATGAGTCCACTTGTAT